ACACAACAGTAAGAGGAAGCTGAGCTGACATTAATTGCACTAACAAATCTTGGTCTTGGATGACAGATGACCGAGTCTGCTTTCCTACCCTTAGAACAATGAGAGTTGCGGGGGAGTACAGTACTGGAGTATTGGACAAATGTATGGTTGTTCTAATGTTTGCCTTTCTTTAAATCTTTATTGTTCTTTGTTAAAAAAGGAATTAAGTGGATATGGCATTCTGATAAATAACTGTGGCTTAAAAATATAAAAAAGTCATAAAGCCCCCAGAAAAATACAATTAGTCATAAATAAGCAACATGGATTTATTTATTTGGACACTTTAGTGTCTACTGGTGAAGGGTCCCCCTCCTATACTGTGGGTGGTGAGGTGGTCAGGGCATACTATATACAAGGAACCTTTTACTCCTTGGACATTGGGCACTTATGGATCAGTGAGAATCCAAACTGCAAAGCCCTTGCAAGTGAGAGAAACAGCAAAAGAGCCCACACTTACCTTTCTCAGATGAAATTATATTATATTCAGCTGCTTCTTTCTCTGATGAATATATTAAAATAATACAGGTATGTAATGAATGGCATCCACGAACTTCTTTAATGCTTACAAGGATGTTAACATACATTATTCTATCTTAACCTCAGATCACACTTCATATAGGTACCTCAGGCACTCCTGTTGTACAGATTAGGAGACTGACATTCAATTCGAATGACTTGCCCACAGTTCCACTATGATTTTCAGAGGAAGGATTTGAACTCAGTGTTGTCTTTACTGCAGCTTCAGTACTTTAATAGGCTATTTCTCTCCTAAGAATTACAATATGGCACAAACTAAAGCCATACTCAGCAAAAATGGATCATTTTCCCTTTTAAAAAGAATTCTTTCATCAAAGTCATTTTGTTCTCTGTAATAAGAAATGGTTCTTGCCTTTTTTAGCCCTTTGGGGACACTACATCTCCCATGCTACTTATCATATTTTAATGAGATGGAATGTATTCTGGCTCAAAGTCCAGTCACCTAAACACCTGTTAATTAAGCAATGTAACCTAATAGAAAAATTTGGAGTTTTGAGCCAGGAGACCATGTTGCATTCTGCACTCAGCAACTTTTTAACTGCTTAACCATTACACAATCTGTATTCATCTCTCAATTTGATTTTTTTTTCTATCAGTAAGATGGGAATTATGCTGTTTTACATTCATTATACTAATGCATTTTCATAGAAAATACAATTAGAAAGGGCTTGAGTATTTTAGCCATACTATAAATGATTTTAACTCAGTACTTCTATTCAATGTATAGAGAATAATAAAACACCCCGATATCTTGAACCAAATTTTCTTCTCCATATCATCTCACTGCAAAATACAAAATTGAGTATGTTCACCCCACCGCATGCTGTGGGTCCCAGATCTGGGCAAGATACATAAAGCATTGGCTTAGAGGATCAGTGTTAATACAACTCTCTCTTTTGACATCATACCAAGTAAACTGGCTAAATAAAAAAAAAACAGTTGTAATGACAAGCACCTCTGCAGACATCCTTTGGATTAGCTGGTTGCTGTGCTGCTCCATTGTCTGGCTCCACTATGAAAAAGGAAACTCTATCATGTTTAACGTGCTAGTATAGTCATTACAGAGCCCATGTTTACAAGGCTTGTATTCAAGAACATGCACATGCATATTCACATACATGTGTGCATTTAAGTATGCATTTATGTACATATAAACATGCACATTTTCTCCCCTAAGTATTCTAGGAATTACCACTATACCAAGCATATGATAAGCACTTAATAAATGTTTCTCAAAAAATACATGTGTATGCGAATACATATGTGTGTTCACATGCACATGTGTGTTTGTGTGTGTTCACATACACACATCTATAAATAAAATACACACTTTACTTTGAAAAGGAAATGCTACTATTTGGAGGGATTGGGAAATAAATCATTTAGAAGGGGATGACTTATTTGAATCTTGAAGGAAACCTGGGTTTCCAAGAAATAGAGATGGGAAGCATGACAATTCCAGGAATATGGGGTGACTAAAGCTAAGACATTGGGAAGTGGAGTTTCATGTGAGTAGAAAAGCAACTAGTACAACTGGGCTGTATTGAACTGCAAATTTTCAAAGAGTCCATACCATAAAGACATCTCGAATTCTTAAAGAGGAGGTGATGTTGTATCCTATAGGTAATAGAAGTGTTATTGTTTGGTAATTTCATTCATGTATGACTGTTAGTGACCCTAATTTGAGTTTTTCATGGCAAAAATACTGGAGTGGCTTGCCCTTTCCTTCTCCAGATCATTTTTACAGATCAACAACTGGGCAAAAGTGGCTAAGTGTTGCCCACAATCCACAGCTACTAAGTGTGTGAGGCCAGATTTGAATTCACAAAAGTGAGACTTCCTGACTCTAGGACCAGCACCCCACCCACTGTACCACCTAACCTAACAAGTGTCATGATTGCTCAATTGTGCTTTAGAAAAGCAGTCAACTTTGTGGAGGAAGGAGTACTAAAATGCTTGAATGGTGAAGACTAAATAGGAATGTACTGAAATATTAAGGGAAGAGGTCATGAAGACCTGAGCTAAGGTTTTGATCTTGTGAGTACACAGGACAAGATAAAGTTGAAAGACTTTTTTGAAATAAAAATGATAGTTTATAACACTAAATTTGCATACGTTGGATAAAAAAATTGAATTCAGATAAAAATGGGCAATCGTTAATTAGAAAACATGTATAGTTAAATCAGTTGTTATCTGTTAGGGTTCTTATATCTGAAACATATAGGAAATTAACACATTTGTACCAAACTGCATAATATGTAATGGATAAATTCTAAGATTGCAAATGGCTATAAAAAATAATTGTAGACTTAAAAAAATACTTACATACAGCTAAAAATAAAAATAGCAATTTAAAATAACTCTGAGATATCACTTCACATCCATCAAACTTACAAAGATGTGATGGTGATAATCAATTTGAAGTGATTAATCACAAGAAGGCAAAGGAGATAACATATTGCTTTTAGATTTGCAAATTGGCTCCACTATTTCAAAGAAAATTTAAAATTTTGTTATGGAAATGACAAAATAATTCTCATTCTGTAATGCAGAAATAGCTCAGCTAGGCACATACTCTAAGGAAGTCAAGGGAAGAAAGTATATTCCCATGTAAGCTAAAAAGTTGATACCTACACTTTCTATAATAGCACAAACTGACAGTAAAGTAGATGCTCATTGATTTAGGAAAGCTGAATAAATTGTGGGACATGAGTCAAATGGAATGATGCAGTATAGTAAGAGATATTAACTTGGAAAAATTCAGGGAAGCAAAACAAAAATTATAAAAGGCAGAAGACATCTAAATCACATAAGAAAGGGGATGGAGGAAAAGACATGCTATCCAATCTGTATAACTGCAAATTTGGCCCAGATAGGAATGATTCACAAAACACTTGAGATTGAT